CCCGTCTTCAAAAAAAAAAAAAAACCAGAATCCCCTCTCCATATAGCGACAACCCTCCACCAACAGCAGCTCATCTCTCTAGGGTAAGGGAATATTTAACCCCTCCGTCTCTTCAGCTCGCCCTCATCCCTCATCTTCCCTCCCGACTGACGGACCTCGTAGCCGCCTCCCGCGCAGCCTCATCAACGACGAGATGTATTCCTTCCCCCGTGAGGGCCGAACACTCTATATACCGATGCGCACCGGCCATTTTCGCCTGCCAACTAGCCTGTTATATCATCAGTCAGTTCGATATCCTCTCTTACACCCGATGCCTCCCCGGTTTATTGCTAAGCAGGATTAAGCCTCACCTCTTCCGGAGCAGCCCAGAATAGGGAGGACCGTCCGTCACGACGCCTCCTCAGATCTGTCTTCGTGCCCACCAGGTGAACGAGCGGCACAGACGGTTGTCCGCTAACGAAGCCTCCCATGACGGCGTGATGCCACTGTCCAGTTCTGTCCGTCAGTCTCTCTCTTTCCATCTTGTCTCTTCCAAAGGGGGGGGAGGGGGGGGGGCCAAAGATGATGCAGATACGTCCATGGCTGGAACGTACCCAGGAAATGATGTTGTACATCGATATACGGTCCGTGACATCGAAACAGAGAAACACGCCGTCCCACGCCATGTATGACAGACGCCGGACCGTATTCAGATCCGGTGCCCCAGAGGTGTCCTACATCTCTACGCTGCCGGGACGACGGCTCTCTCGGTGGATGAAGTCGTTGATGTAGACTTCGTAGCAGGTTCGTTTGATGGCGCTAGACTTTTCGTCGTCTCCTTGTCAGTTCCTTCTTCTCCTTTTCTCTTTCTCCCTTGTTTCTTCTTCACTCTCGGTGTACTCTTCTTACCTGAGGAAAGTATCCATATCGGGCGCGACTTTTTTTTTTCAGAAGAGAAATCGACGTGAGCCAGTGACGCCAGAGAAGAGCAGATAAAGGGGAAAGAGAAAGGGAAAGGGAAGAAGGAGGAATAATGACAGCAACAGACGTACAAGAGAAGAGACGTCTGACCGGATCCTCTACCCCCCACAAACAAAAAGTTGAGTCGGATAGGTAGCCCAGTGGCCATGGTGATCTTTGGCTCTTCTTCCTCTCCATCCTCCTCATCGACTCGTCTCTTCCGTTTGAGAAGGCTGGGTATCAGACCTCCGTATCTAGAGCCTTCTGCTGTCCGAGTCGACGTCCTTCGGAATATCAGTGGAGTCGCAGCGTCGCGCAGCACGCTCATACGGGATCGTGATCTGGGTTGCTGCTGTTGGTCACCATGTCCAAGGTGACTGGGCATGAATCGTCGTAGGAGAGTACCGTCCTCATCTCTTGAAGTCATGATGAGGAACCCAGTTACGGGTAAGATGATGTGAGAAAAAAAGGTGACAGGCCCGTCCATATCATCTCACATCCCATCTCACCTTGACAATCATAACCGGCAAACTCTGAGCCACGTTCTTGTTTTTCCCCTCTTCCTTTCTTCTCCGTCTTCTCCGTCTTCCCCCTTCTTTTCCATCATTTCGCGTACCTATATTTGCATCATGTACCTGGCATTGTTCTGCCAATCTCTTCTTTTTTTTTCGTTGATGTGATTTTTTAACGTCCTTTTTTTTTCAACTATCTAAATATCTGAAAATAATTCCCAAATTCCAACCATAGTTACCGTTATCATTATTCGAGAAAAAAAAGGCATTGAAATATAAGGAAAGCATATAAGAAAAGAAAAGAAAAGAAAAGGTAAGAATAAAAGCAATCAGAAAAGAAGACGGAACAACAGAAAAAAAGGATAAAAAGTGACAAAGACAAACTGCATATTCTCAAACTCCAGATTCCGGTCGCCAAAAAAAAAAAAAAAACCCCATCATCTCGCCAGAATACTCCTAATCCGCGTTGGGTATGATGAAAAAAATAGACAAAAAGACAAGAGTATAAAAAGAAGAATGTAAAAAGAAAAAGCAGTAAGATAACTCCATAAAAGACAGAGCAGAGATAAAAGATGAAAAGATGAAAATCAATCCAAACCCATAGCATCGTGTCGGGAAACTGTACAAGGCAGCAAACGCCAGAATCCTTTAGAGGCTGACCATCCCCTCGTCGAGGCTATCCTCCGCCGTGTCGAACTTGAGCGGCTCGTCAATAGCGGCTCCCCTATCAATCAGGTTCAGCTCGGCCCTGACCTGCCTCTGGATCTGCAGGAAGTATCGCCTCAGGCTGCGCAGACCCTTGAGGAAGCCGACGTCGGGCGCATCCGGGTGGTTGGGCGGGCACTTCTGGTCCTTGAACCGGTCTAGGGGCGTGAGGCTGTTGGCGAAGTCGGCCACCTTGAAGTCGATCTCCCGGCGGTTCTTCTTCTTCTTCCTACGCCGCGGCGCCTCCTCCGTGTCGGTGGGCGCGTCCGTCATGGACTCGTAGGCCGTCTCGTACTCGGCCGACGGTTGCTGCTGCTGCTCCTCCGAAGTGTCCCCGTCGTAGAACATGAGCAGGCTGGCCGCGTAGAACCGGTAGCCTCGCAGCCCCCTGACGATTTTCTCCAGACGGTCCAGCTTCCGGAGGACCATGGGGATGTGCCGCAGCACGCTGTGCAGGTCCACGCCGTCAAACAGGAACCGCTGCAGCGCCGCCTGGAACTCGGCCCCGGGCTTCACCTCGCGCCCAAAGTACTTGTCCTGGAACTCGTACGACTGCGTCTTGCTGTTCCACACCTGAACGCCGCAGATGCGCACGCCCAGTTCGGCCGACGTCGTCGCCAGGCACTTCTCCTGCTGCGACTTCTGCTTCTTGGGCGTCGCGTCCACTCCGTACTGCCGCGTGCCCATCTTGAGGTCCATCATGCACGGCCGTTTCATACCTTCCGTCAGGTCTTCCAGCAGCAGAAAATACTCGATCCTGTCGCGCTGCATCTTGGCTTCCTTCGGGTTGATCGGTCGCGGTACCTTGGCGAAGGGGGCGTCGGGAGAGAGGGCCGAGGGCTCCTCGACGAGCTGCCCGTTCTGGGATCCCGACATGGGCTGCTCGGCGTCCAGCGCCGCAGACGCGCCCTCGGTGTCTCCCTTGTACCCGGCATCGTCCGCCTCTTCGAAGTACTTTAGGCGACCCCTCGAGTCCTGTACATCCTCCGGCTTGCGTCGGAGCCCGCCCGCAGAGTACCTGCGCTTCTTCTTAGTGGCGACAGGGCTGTTCTTGAGCGTCTCGGGCTCCGGTGCGCTGGTACCCCCGAGATCCTTGGCCGCGACGTATTCGTCGTCGTCCGCATTCTGTTCCGAGCCGAAGGAGCCGTTGCCGGTGCCCAGGTCGCTCATCGTATTGGCAGATGGCGGGGCAGCGGTCTGGGCCTGGGCCTGGGCCTCGCCGTCCTCGTCTGCAGTAGCCGCCGCCGTGGCTCCGTCCGTGAGGTTCGAGTCCGAGTTGGACGTGCGCAGCAGGCGCTGCAATGCTGGACGGGGAATGGACCGTTGGTGGGGCCGGCGGTGCCTGTGGACCTCGATAGGCTCCTTGAGGAACGCGTCGTTGAACACCTCGTTACGTAGCCGCTTGTTGACCGTCGTCGCGCCCCAGCTGTTCGGCCGGTCTTCCAGCTGAGGTCGTTGGAACGGGATCGCCGCTGATGGAGCGTGCGACGGCCGGTCCACGGACGCGCTCTTGCGGTGGAGGGCCTCGGGGGGTGGGGTTGGTTGTAGGAGGTTTCGGGGGAGGATATGTCGGTTGTCGTTGAAGGTGACCGTGGGTATCTGTGAGCCGGCGTGGTTGGCTAGAGAATGGCTGATGACGCGTTGCGTCCCGGCCGGCTGGCCCTTGTCGACGATGGCCTCCTTCACCTTCTTCCGCTCCGCAGCGGCGGCCGAGTCGTCCTTCTTGCTGGTGCTTCTTCTCCGTGGCTGTTTCTGAAAGGTGACGTTGAGGACACCAATGTACCTGGACACATCATGTTAACCATCGGCCGGGACGATCGAGGGGCGAGGCTACCGAGGAAACGGGTGCTGGACGCATGCCGCAGGAGACAGACATACCGAGGGAGAAACGGCAGGAGGTCACGATGGTATCGCTCAATGGTTTCATAAAACTCGTTCTCCCTGTTGTTGAGCTGCTTACACACGGCTCTACGAGAGAAGCGCCATAGCGTCGTATGACCACCGACTTGATGCTTATACGGTATCAGCTCGATGGCGGACAAGGGCTGGGCAACATTCTCTTCATGGTCTCGGACAGGGGTCTCAATTGGCTGCGCAGAGCCGTCAGCGGGCTGCGCTGGGTAGCCGGTCATCTCCAGCTCTCTGTCGGCGACGGGCAGCTCCTCCACAGCCTCACTAGGGACCTCAGCACGATGGGACAGGAGACTCTCGCGGGAGCGGAAGTGGGACAGATGACTACTCTTGCTTTCTTCCTCCTCGTCAACCTCGGGTTCGGGCTCATCAGCCTTGACCAGCCAAGGGTGAATCTCGTCCTGGGATAGGGACCGCGGTCGCTGACCGGGACCCCCAGGATGACTACCTCCCTCTCTAGCAGCACGCACGTCTGTGAGCTCATGATCGTGATGGGGCACAAAGATGGCCGACGAGATCTTTTCTTCGCCCGACTCATCAGCCTCGGCGTCCTCTTGGTGGGCGGCTTCGGCACTGTCGCCAGACACCCTGCGGCTGTGGGCCTGGACTTGGTGATCCGTCAGAGATGGGCACTGGTCCGACGCGGGGTGCTTGTTAAAAGAACGCTGTTCATCCTCCACCGACGTCTCCGTCAAGGACGGGGGCTGCTCTGAGCCGAAGCCGCTACTCAAGGAAGCGGCATCTGCTTCGGCGGGAGCTGCCGGCAGAGATGGGTCAGGCTCTACTCTGCTCCGGGGTGGCTGCCGGACGGGTGCCGACCGCTCATCTGCGTCGGGCGCCCTGGCGTCGTCCCTTGATACATCCTCGGCCGTCGTCGGCAGCTTGTCGCGCGTACCCCCCTTTGTATCACGCCGGCGCTGCTTGTCGTCCGGCGGCAGGCCCTCCTTGAAGAAACGCAGACTGTAGCTCGCCTTGCGGCTCCGGGTGTTGGGCTCGACACCGGCCATTGCCTCGGCGACTGATTTCTCCACCAGTCCATCCTCCTCGGGACCGGAGCCGGAGCCGATAGACCATATCTTCTCCGTCTTCTCCGACGTGTGCCGGTGTTCGGATGGCGTAGGGCGGCCGTCGAATCGCCTGGGGTCATTGGGAGCGTCGTCTGTGGCCTGGGTGAGCGAGAGGGACTCGCTCGTGAATTGGTCGGTGCCGGTAGGAGTGGTCGGGGCTGTCAAGGGACTCAATGTCAGCGAGACGGGGTAATGCTTGGCCGGGTCGACGGTGGCGGGCCGGCCAGTGTCGAAGAACAGAGATGATCTAGGGAGGGAGCGGTCGACAGTATCTCGACGGTCGAGAAGTGCGTGCCTGGCATCGGCCCGGGTAGGCTGTTCGAGGGAAGGGGGGAGGCTGGCGGCATCGCGGTTCGGGGTGGGCAATACGGCGGCCGAAGTGGCAGCCCAGGCGGTCATGGTCGAGGTTGGCGAGGGGGGTCGAGGATGAGGAGAGGGGCGGGGGTCGACGGACTCCTTATCGGGACGGGATATTACGCGTGTGAAAGCATGTTGTGCGTTATCGCCGGTACCGCTGCTGCCCGTGCCGCTAGCGGCCGTAGTCCTGACTGGACCGTCACGTTCCACCGCAGAGAAGGGTGAGTCTGTGTCCGATCTTCCGGCGCTGGAAATGTTGGCGGCGGTGGGAGCGTCGTAGTGTAAGGGGGAGGGGGCCTGTGTCGACGACGGCTGGTTGTGTGGTGTGGGGATGCCGCGAGCCGTGGCCAAGGCTTGGGACAGGAGCGAAGGGCCGGACGGGCGGTGGGCAGGTGAGAAGGCCCAAGACCTTTTATCACCGCTGACACCGTCAACGTGGTCGTCTCCAGGGGCGGGTCCGAGCGTGGCATCTATGGCACGATCCGGCAGGGGTTGCGTGCCGAGGGTGTCTTCCCCAGACGCCTTCGGGTGAGTATGAGCAGAGCCAGCACCGCCGTCAACACCACCACCAAGGCGGCCAATTCCTACTCCTTCGCAGAAATCAGGTTCTGCGTCAGACTCGAAACGTGGACGGCTCAGAGGAACGGCGTGGGCGGCATTCTCGAAATCGTCGTGCGGACTGGACATGAGTGGGCATCTGGTGCTGGGATGGCAAGAGGATTGGATGTGTACGTGTGAGAGTTGATTCGTATGCGGATGCACGCAATGGGTCTGGAGTGTGTGTATGTGTGTGTGTGTTTGTGTATGTGTGCCTTCTTCCTTTTTTTTTTCTTTCTTTCTTTCTTTTTCTTTCTTTTTTTTTTTTTGGGGGGGGGGGGGGGGG